AAATTTGCGTGGAGAAATATATACATTGATCAATAAAATTATCACTCAAACATCTAATTTCTTGACAAAAAACAACGTTACATAAACAATCATAAAACACTTCTGTATATATGTTTCTTCAAGCATAGAGAATTGCTCTTCTCCTGCACTTCTCAACAATCCTTTCAGATTTGGAAACCTTTTCAAAAGTATCTATTTTGATGTCAAATTGATTCTTTCCATAGCAAGTTGTTCCATGAGAATGTTGGTGCAAAAAATACTATGCTTCTTTGGGTTTGGATAATTGTATGAAACTTTATTTAGAAATATATTGGTTTACATTGTTAACGTCTTAACAAATGTCCATAAATTTTTTTGGTGATTTTGTTTTGAAAATTAAGATAATAAAAAATTTATGGAATATAGCATGTGAAAATCAGTAAAATCGCGTTTATCTGTTTTAGTGTTCGTTTGAAATTGAAAATGCGTCTGTTTTTCCCGCATGACGAGCAGGGCACATTGTTTACGTCTTAATGGACGACCCTAAAAAATTTCACCAATTTCGTTTTGAAAAATATGGATCACAAAAATTTCATAAACTATAGCACACGAAAATCATTAAAATCAGCGTTTACCTATTTTGGGACTCGCTTGAACTTGAAAATGCGCTCATTCCTCGCGGGACGAACTGGGAACATTGCTAACATCGCAACGGACAAAATTTTGGTCATTTCATTTTAAGAATTTCGAATCACAAAAAATTAATGGATTAGAGTACATGAGAAACCTGCGTTTACCTACTTTAGGGCTCGTTCGAACTTGAAAATGCACTGATTTTTCTCACGGAACAGACTGGGAATATTGCTAATGTCTTAACGAACGTCCATAAAAAATTTCGACCATTTTGTTTCAGAAATTGTGGATTAGAAAAAATTCATGGACTATAGCACACTAAAGTCGGTAAATTTGTGTTTACCAACTTTGGGGCTCGTTTGGAATTTAAAATGCGTCCGTTTTCGCCTGTGTACAAACTGAGTCATTGCTAACGTCATAATGGAGGTCCATGAAAATTTTTGTCCATTTCATTTAAAAAATATTGGATTACAAAAAAAATTTCATGGAATATAGCACACGAAAATTGACAAAATCGGCGTTTACCTGCTTTGAAGCACTATAGAACTTGAAAATGCTTTTGTTTTACTGCGGAACAAACTGGGTACATTGTTAACGTGTTAACGGACGTCTATAAAAAATTTCGGCCATTTTATTTTCGAAATTTCGACTCACAAAAAATCAATGGATTATAACACATAAAAGTCGGTAAAATCTGCATACCTGTTTTGGAGCTTGTTTGAACATAACAATGCACATGTTTTCCTCGCAGTATAAACTGGTACATAGCTAACCTCTAAACAGACGTCCATAAAATTTTTTGGCCATTTCGTTCTCGAAATTCCAGATCACAAAAAATTCATAAACTATAGCACACAAAAATTGAAAAAATATGTAACTACTTGTTTTGGGCTCGTTTGAACTTGAAAATGCACTCATTTTCTCCGCAGGACGAACTAGGCACATTGTTAACGTCTTAACGGACGTCCATGCAAAATTTCAACCATTTTGTTTTGGGAATTCCGGATCACAAAAAATCCATGGACTATAGCACATGAAAATTGATGAAATCTGCATTTACCTGCTTTGGGACTCATTTGAACTTGAAATGCAACCAGTTTTTCCCCGCGGGACTAACGGGGTACATTGCTAAAGTTTTAGCGGACGTCCATGAAAAAGTTTGGTCATTTTGTTTCGGCAATTTTAACTCCCAAAAGATCTATGGACTATATCACACGAAAATCAGCAAAATGTGTGTTTACCTACTTTGGTGCTCGTTTGAACTTGAAAATGTGCTAGTTTTCCCCGCGAGACGAACTGGGCGCATTGCTAACGTCTTATCGAACATCCATGAAAAAATTCGGTTATTTCATTTCCATAATTTTGAATCACAAAAAATTCATAGACTATAGCACATGAAAATCGGCAAAAATCTCACCTTCTTTAAGGCTCGCCTGAACTTGAAAATGCGCTTGTTTTTCCCGGGTGACGAAGCGATAAATTGTTAAAGTCTTAACGAAAGTCCATAAAGTTTTTTATCTTCACTTCGAAAATTCAAGATCACTAAAAATTCATTGATTTATATCACACAAAAACGGTAAAATTTGTGTTTACCTGCTTTGGGGCTCGTTTGAACTTGAAAATGCGTTTGTTTTCTCCGCGAGACGAACTGGGTACATTCCAACGTCTTAACGAACGCCCATGAAAAAATTATTTCGTTTCAAAAATTTTTGGATCACAAAAAATTCATAGACTATAGCACACAAAAGTTGAAAAAAATTGAGTTTACCTGCTTTGGGGCTCGTTTCAACTTGAAAATGCGCTCGTTTTTCCCGTGGCACGAACTGGGTACATTGCTAACGTCTTAAAGGGCATCGATGAAAAATTTTGGCCATTTCATTTCAGAAGTACCCAATCACAAAAATTCATGGACTATAGCACACGAAAGTCGTCAAAATTTGCATTTACCTTATTTATGTCATGTTTAAACTTGAAAATGCGCTCGTTTTCCCCGAGCGGAGAACTGGATATACTGTAACGTCTTAATGGATGTCCATTAAAAATTATGGCCATTTCGTTTTGAGAATTTCGGATCACAAAAAATCTATAGACGCACACGAAAATCTGAAAAATCTGCATTTATTTGCTTTTAGGCTCGATTGAACTTGAAAATAAGCATGTTTTCCCCGCGGGATGAACTAAAACATTGTTAACACCTTAACGGACGTCCATGGAAAATTTTGGTCATTTGATTTTGAGAATTTCGGATAACAAAAAATTCATTAACCATAGCACACGAAAATCGATAAAATCTGTATTTACCTGCTTTGAGGCTCGTATATACTTGAAAATGCGTTCGTTTTCTCCGCGGGACGAAGTGAGTACATTGCTAATGTATTAACGAACGACCATAAAAAATTGCGCTCATTTTGTTTTGGAAATTCTAGATCACAAAAAACATCATAGACTATAGCACACAAAAATTGGGAAAATATGTGTTTACTTGCGTCGAGACTCATTTGAACTTGAAAAATATTTGTTTTCCCGCGAGACGAATTGGATAAATTGCTAAATTCATAATGGACGTTCATGAAAAATTTTGTTCATTTTATTTTGAGAAGTCTGGATCACAAAAAAAATTCATGGACTATAACACAAGAAAATCGGTAAAATTTGTGTTTACGTGCAATAGAATCGTTTGAACTTGAAAATGCGCTCATTTTTCCCGCAGGACGAACTAGGTACAATTCTAACGTCTTAATGGACGTCCATGAAAAATTTCGGACCATAAAAAATCAATGTACTGTATCACACAAAAAATAACAAAATTTTGCGTTTACCTGCTTTGAGGCTTATTTAAACTTGAAAATGGGTCCGTTTTCCTTGCGGGACGAACTGAATACATTGCTATTGTATTAACGGATGTCCATGAAAAATTTTGTTCATTTTAATTTTGAAAATTTGGATCACTGAAATTTCATGGTCTAAAGTACACAAAAATCAACAAAATCTGTGTTTACCTTCTTTGGGCTCGTTTGAACTTGAAAATGCGGTTGTTTTCCCCAGGAGACGGACTAGGTATATTTCTAACGTCATCACGGATGTCCATGGAAATTTCGTTTCACAAATTCCGGATCACAAGAAATCCATGGATTATAGCACAAGAAAAATCGATAAAATATGTGATTTACCTACTTTAGGACTCGTTTGAACTTTAAAATGCACATATTTTATCCGCCGGATGAACCGGGTACATTACTAACTTATAAAAGAACGTCTATGAAAAAGTTTGGTCTTTTCATTTTGGGAATCTGGATCACAAGAAATCTAAAGACTATAGCACAAGAAAATCGATAAAATTTACTTTTACCTGCTTTAGGGGTTGTTTGAACTTGAAAATGCATATGTTTTTCCTTGTTGGACGAACTAGATACATTGTCAACGTCTTAACGAACGTCTATGAAAATTTTTGATCATTTCGTTCTGGGTATTCCGTATCACAAAAAACTCATAGATTATAACACATGAAAATCGACAAAATCTGCTACCTGCTTTGTGGCTTGTTTGAACTTGAAAATGCGCCCGTTTACTATGCGGAACGAACTGGGTACATAACTAATGTCTTAGTGGATTTCCATGAAAATCTTGGTCATTTCATTTCGGGAATTTCATATCACAAAAAATCTATGGACTATAGCACACGAAAATTGGATAAATTTGTGTTTACTTGTTTTGGAGCTCTTTTGAACTTTAAAATGAGCCCGTTTCCCCCACGGGACGAACTAGGTACATTGCTAACGTCTTAACGGATGTCTATGAAAAATTTCGATCATTTGGTTTCGGGAATTCCAAATCACAAATTAATGGACTATAGTACATGAAAATTGGCAAAATCTTCGTTTACCTGCTTTGAGGCTCGTTTGAACTTGAAAATGTATCCATTTTCCTCGCGGGACGAACTAGGTGTATTGCTAACGTCTTAACGGATGTACATAAAAAATTTTGGTCATTTCGTTTCGTGAATTTCAGATCACAAAAAATATATGGACTATAACACACGAAAAATGACAAAATCTGCATTTATCTGCTTTGGTGCTCATTTGAACTTGAATATGTACATGTTTTCCTCATGGGACGAATTGAGTACATTGCTAACGTCTTAACGGATGTCCATGAAAATTTTCGGTCATTTCTTTTCAAAAATTTCATATCACAAAAAATTCATGGATTATAGCACACGAAAATCTATAAAATCTGCATTTACCTGCGTTGAGACTCGTTTGAACTTAAAAATGTGTGGTGTTTTCCCCGCGGAATGAACTGGTCACATTGATAACGTCTTAACGGACACAATGAAAAATTTTGGTCATCCCGCGGAAATTCCAAATTGAAAAAAGATCTATGAACTATAGTACACGAAAATCGATGAAATTTTATAATACATATTTGGTTGTTGACAACGTAAGGCATTGTTTACATACCGAACATTTTAAAACTATAAAGAATTTATTTACATTTCTTTTTTAAATAACATATCTAGTATAATCTCACAAGTGGGGGTTCGGAGAGGATAGCATGTACGCAAACCTTGTAGAAACGTGAAGAAGCATTTTTACCTGAACCTAGCAACAATAACTCCTCTGATAGACCCAACAAATGCGTACAATATCACAACCAGACATACCATTGTAAAGACGCGAAGCATGATAGCTTTGCTTTTCCAACTTTCAATTCTTTTCTGAGTTAAGTACATCTCTACAGGGAAATAGACGACGATAGGCCAAAATGTTATCGCTCCGGACACCCCTACGACCTGGTTGAAGTAAGGGAACAATACAGCAATCCCAGTCATTATTGCAACATATGCTGTTCGGAAGAATAATCTCATAAAATTCAAACTAAATGGCAGCATTGATAGAGGTTTCAGAGTGTGATTCTTGTGAACAAACTTGCTATCTGGAAATTTTCTGGCAAACCATCTCTCAACTTCTGCAAATATTGGCTGGCTAAAAACCTGTAAAGCATATTCAAGTCGATACAAAAAGTAAAGAAAATATAACTTAGGCAACCAATGACGGAGCTAGAATTTTCACCAAGGGAATCTAAAACATAAAGAAGTAAAGACAGAAATCAAGGTGATTCAACATCTACTAGCTAGTGAGATGAGAATTGTCAAAATGATATAAGGAGATGACAATCCCCTCAACTGATATGGGACACTATAACAACCCTACGCACCCCGGCTTGGACAATTGGAGCATCGATAAAATAACTTAGGGGCTCAATATTGTGAAACACAACAAGAAGAATGGATTTGCTTTGTAAAGAAATAGGACTTGCGGCCTAACTCAAGAACAAAATCTAGCTCGTGAGGTAAGGATACTTTTGATATCATATAAGGAGACAACAACCCATTCTCTCAACCAATGTGGGACACTCTAATAAGTTTAGAAGAAGATGTCAAAAGTAAAGATATCCACTAACAAGGAAGAGTTATTCGGTTAAAAAGATTGTGAAAGCATAAACGCAATAACAATGACAACTACACCTTAGTTCCGAACAAGTTAGAGGTGAAGGTGTAAAAGTTGTATAGGAATAAAAACATGGGGCTACAATGTTATACTTGACAGAACACTTCAAGTAAAAGTACCTGATATCCACCAACAAGATGAAGAATAACACACGCATTAGCAAAGTCTACAAGCCAATATGGTTCATAGAAACCGAATCCTGTCAAGAGATTCCCTGGTGTGGAATTACCAAAGGCTGCATAACCAAATCCTCCACAGCAAAGGTAGAAAAAAGTTGTAATACAGGATGTCATAATTGAGACCTTCTTCATGGTGATCTTTTCTGGAGGAGGTGCCTTTAATGTGTCCTACATATTTGGAAGTTTTCATTAATTGTTTAGTGCAGCTTAATGCTGATTAAGAAAATTATTTAATTTAGAAAGCCAAATTGCAGCACCTGAACCTCCAGAAATATAAGAGAGAATGGAAAGGCAAAGGCAATGTTCCCGAGCGCTTGAGCAACCAACCATACTTTCTCAGCAGCTGTAGAACTTGGCAGTCCTGTAATGCTTCCTTTGATTTCTCCATTTTCTGCATATCAAGATTGCGGAATGGAATTTTAAGATAATGACAAGTTTGATCATCTATATTACCTGAGATTCTAGGCCTGAACATGCTTGTTATTGTGAAGATTTTAGGACTCTAAAAGCATGCAAAAAGGTAACCTACCTATTACTTTGGCTAAGCCAAGTGCTGATCCGATAATTGAATATGTGAAGGACATGACAGCAGCAACTACGGAGAGCCACTTCATATTCGGAAAATCAGGAATTTGAGACACTATAACTTGGATTAATCCAAATATTACCATATACCTAGTACTTTCATATCCACAGGTAGCCTTGTGACCTTGATCATGATAGCAGTTTGATTTCTGGATAGCTCTGGAAGCATTTAGAGGATGCATTATTAATATCAGCTTTAGAAAAAACCCTCCCAATAGATAGTTTGAGAATGCACAGGAGTAACAACTCTCAATTCTTATGTATATGTGCTATGCATTATAGCCTTATTATCTATGATTCTTTATTTCATTGGTTATATGGGACTCCTAAAATCATTTAGGGACACATTCCCTTAATCCACTAATATACATCGAATGTAAGTTTAATTTTGAGAATATATGATAGCAATATCAACTTTATATGTACACTAAGTACTGTGTATCCTTTTTAATATTCCTAATCCCATTGGTTATGGAACTTTTATCTCCTTGATAATGGAACACCTATCCTAATTTCACTAATTATGACATATACTTCTGTATCCCCCTCTAGTTATCTGATTAGAATGATGACATGGATACAAATCTCTGCTTATAGCTAGATTCGTACGGTTCGGACTATATTGTTTGGTAATTCTTGAACCCTTAAGAATCCTTAACAAGTTTATTTATGAACTGTTAGCAGTCAAAGGAATCTCAGAAGATAGTGTAAAATAAAAACCTCATTAGTTTAGAGCATTGGCTGGGCCACCTTAGGCTAAGGATGGTCCCGTGCACACCCTTCGCTGAAATATTATGTGGTGTACAAAGGTTAAATGTTAACTGTGAGATATTATGAGTGTATGTTTGATTTTGCACACCCTTAACACAACTGAGAAGAAAATCTGCATACTCTTTCCCAAACTCTTGGCTCCGCCACTGGACTTTAGAGGAGATAATAGGTCTGAAGCATGAATTTGGCAAGAGGAAATTAAGTTGTCTGATAGTATGGAAATGCAACCATGTAAACTAGGATAACCCAAACAAAAATTCAGTATGATAAGCAGCAAAGCTCATAAAGGAAATGTACGTGCATAAATTGTCAGAAGGAGACATTGATAATACTAGTAGAGAGAAGATCAATGACATACTGTATGCTGGAGGCGGATGTAATTGTATATATAATTGCAAGCTTGATGAAATTTATACGAACAGCGATTCCACAAAACCAGGCATTTCTTTTTCCTGAGATGCCAGAAAAAAGGAATTTGTTGCGTAAGCCCAAGTATATAACAGCCCTCTTGAATTCAGTAAGGTAAGAAGACCCTTGCTGCCAAGTCAAGTTCTACATAAGGACAGTTAATTTTGGCATCCCATGAACTATCCAGTTGGTCCTCCAATTAAGAGAAAACTAAAGTTTTACGATGGTTAGGCCACCATGTCCTTAAAATCTATATATAGACTCCTGGAAGAACGACGTGCTTGCTTACTTGAACATAATTTATTTCCACGAAAAGTAAGGAAAACGAGAAGTAAATAAATGGTTCATCTGAACTGAAAAAGTGCAGGACATAGGATTTTTTCTAATTTATTCTTAGCTTGAATTCTCACCTAAAATCTTCTGTACAGCATCAAGATAACAGCCATTCCTATCAGGGCCAGTTTCTGGATCAGGAGACTTATAGCAATTGCAGAGAAGAAATACAGAAGTAAGAGAGACACAAGCAAATACGAGCATAGTCAATGGACCAGCAACCCAACCTAGCTGTGCCATGCTCCATGCTAATGATAGAACACCAGAACCAATTACTGCTGTAATTAAATGTGCCAAAGCTGTCCATTCATTTCCTGAATTTTCACGGTGAGTACACATATTAGCTTCTGTGAGTATCATCAACTTGTACAGGTTTCAATTATTGAAAGAAACTATTAGAAACTAATACTACTAAATTAACACAAGAAAAGATCAAGATGATTAACCCTTTTTACAGCTTGTTTGGATGGTTTATCTATTGTTACTTTAAATACATTATTTGTTTTTTGATTGTTACTTAAATTTACTCTATTGCTTTGTATTGTCAAATTCATTGTTATGGAACGAAAAGTTTCATCTCATCAAGATTCTTGAGATGGGTTCACTATGGACCCAATTTTTTATTGTCAAGATCCAAACTTTTTGTGTAAAATGAAGCTTAAATGGTCAAATGGAGATAAAAAGGGGTTTCCAGAAAAAAGGAAAAAGTGAAGTATGATACCAAAAACAAATATTTTGACCTTATAGTATATTGGGAAAAATATAATTGAAGTAAAATAAAAAGGGAATTTTTGTTACCTGTTCTTTTGAGGGCAAGCTTAGATGATTGGGAAGAAGAAGAAGAAACATAATTTGGGTCCAAAAATGGCATTTGAGAGTCACTTTCTTCATCCAACCCCATAGCCCCAGCTATCACTATGAATCTATTTCTGAATATTCCAAATTTAATGGGAACTTCTTTCTACAAGATACTATTTTTTTAGTGCAAAATTCCCTTCTTCTTTTTTTAGAAAGTAAACAAAAAATTGTGAGCCATGTGATATTAAAAATAAAATACGTAGAACATATTAAAATATATTTTAATTTCACAATCCTAAATATATTATCTGAAAAATTAAAATTAAAAAATTATCAAAAAAATACGTTTATGTTTAGTCCTCTTATATCAAAAAAAGTATGTAATATATTGAGATTTTAGCGTATGGAATTACATTATAAGCTTATCACATTAAATATTTACTATAATTATGTAAATATTTAATAGCAAAGAGATCAAGGGGGGACATTTTGAAAGACTAAATATGTTTATGATGTATTGTAAGGATTAAAATTTGGAATTTACTAATGATTAAGGGGACAAAAATGAGATTATTGACACATGTTTATTTATTTATATTATTTTTAATGATTGAATATTAGTATTTCTATCTAACCTATAGTGGAGTAGGATATTTTGTACATTGAAAAGGAAGGGCCGCAACTTTTTGTATGATAGTTATATTGGTGCCTTTCAACATCTTTGAAACGTCAAAAAAAATGAATTATTAAGTAGACGTTCAGCTATGAAATTTAAATATTATTTAGCGTTGAAGTCACGATATTTAGAATTTTATATATTTATCTAAAAATAATTATACTCTTGAATTTTAGAGATAAGCATAATTATTAAACTTGACTAAATTATATGAAACATACAATCAAATATATTCTAAAGAGTAATATCTCAAAATAAATAGTCATATAATGTCATACAATAGATTCTATATACGAGCCACTATATGTTAATATTTAGTTACTTGAATATGCTTTACTTACTCAAATATAGTCCAGAGAGGATGGTGTTTAATGTAGACTTACTCATACCTTTATGGTAGTCGATAGAAGTTGTTTTTAATAAATTCTCGATTCAAATAAAATATATCGAAAATCAAAGACTGTATTTTTAAGTTACTGAATGAGATGTGTAAATTCCATTAGAAGAATGGCATGAATAGAGTGTCTTTTGGCTTACAAATCTTACTAGCTAGCTATTTAATTGTAAGATTTTACATTTCAAGCTAATTTAGCTTTAACTATTCCCTCAATTGATCCAATCAACCCCAGTAAAGATACAATCAAACAAACCATACTGAAACCTTCAAGAAGTATCCATTTTCTTGTCCAAGCTCCAATTTTTCTTTGCACAATGTACATTTCCACTGGAAAATATATGGTCATAGGCCAAAAGTTCAATGCTCCCAAGATTCCTAATACCTGGTTGAAATATGGAAATGCCATTGCTATTGCTGTTGTAGATATAACATATAGAGTTCGAAAACATAACCGGAAGAGGTTCAACTGGAGAGCTGGCAACACTGGGAGTTTGATGGCGTAGAAATTATTTATGAATCTGTTCTGAGGGTACTTCTGAGTTGCCCATTTTTCAACAAATGCGAATACTGGCTGGCTGTATACCTAAGGAAACAAGCATTTTGTTCGTGTTAAGGTTAGAATTGTCGTATACCAAGTAAAGGGTGGAAGGAAAAGACTCGGGTTTTAGTACTACCTGATACCCTCCAACCAGATGGAGGACTATGCAGGCATTGGCAAAATCAACAAGCCAAAACGGCTCGTAGAAACCTGTCAAGAGGTTCCCTGGTGTGTCGTTCCCAAAGGCTGCATATCCGAAGCAACTACAGCATAGATAGAAGAAAGTGGTGATAACTATCGCATTTATTGACGCCTTCTTCATGGTCTGATTTTCTGGTGGAGGAGATTTTAGTGTATCCTTCACTCCATAAAAAAGAACATCTTTAATATTAGAAGAAACAGCAGCAGTCTTTGTGATACTTTTAGTGTAACTATTCCAACTAAAAGTGGTAGTGTTACTGTAATGTCTTGTATGGTTTCACAAACATTAGCTAAGTTGATATTTACGCTCCGATATTGATCTTGAATTATTTTTTTTGGAAAACTATACATGACGACAACTATGCCTCAGTTCCAAACAAGCCGAGCTCTGCTAAATAAATCAATATTAAATGACCGAGTATCAGGGCAAATTCTAAGAGCTGAATCTATTTATATCTGACTATTGATATATTAAGAAATGCCACAAGTTAAGACTTGTATAGTTGCGGAATATCAATACCTGTATCTCGAGGAGAATAATCGAATAAGGATAGGCAAAAGCAATGTCTCCGAGTGCCTGGAAAACTAACCAAATCTTCTGAGCAGCACTCTTTGTTGGTACTCCCACAATGCTTCCCTTGATACCCCTATTATCTGCAGATCCAACATCAATGGGGAAATGAGACAAGAAAATGCTTGCTCCATGATCAGAACTAAAATCAAAATACACGAGATTCTTTGATATATTTTTGGAAATCGAGATGAAATAACAAGAAACAGAATGAGAAAAAGAACAGTCAAGGCTTTACCGATCACTTTAGAGAACCCAAGGCCCAATCCGATGAAAGAGTAACAAAATGACATTAGCGCAGCAACAACAGACAACCATGCCATGTTATGAAAATTTGGTATCTGCGATGTTACTATCTGAATAATGCCAAAAATCAGCATGAAATTATTTGTCCCAGTCTGGCAAACAGCTTTTTCTCCTCCTTTATGGTAACAATTTGATCTCTGAATTTCTCTGCAGAAACTTTCGGTCGGATGAATAACTTAACAGAAGCATATCTCATTCAGCTTGAATTGCATACACTGTCTCTTGCAGGCTAGGCATTACTATAATGGATATAATGTTATCTAATAACCCGACCAAATGACCAAAGAAAAATGTTTTAGATACTGCTATCGAGACACTTAAGAATTCAGAGAGGCAAAAATCTGAACTGCATATATATGTATATAGCTAACTAACCTCATACTTGTTGCACTTGTAATTACATAAGCAATACCAGTCCCATAGAAGCTCACATACTGAAGCAAACCACACAACCACGTCCATTTCTTCCCTGAACGAGTATAAGTCAAAATACATAAAAGACGCGTCTAATCCCCTCCCCCCAAAATAATGTAAAAGAGGAATCCTCATATGAGAAACTTCTAAAAGAGTTACAAATTCTATGTTGTAGGATGGAACAGTCTACCAAGATTAACTCTAACGGCATCAATGTAAGAGGGATTTCGCGTTCCTGTTATGGGATCAGGTGACCTGTAACAATCACATATGAGAGATGCAGATATGTATGTAACAACTGCAAAACAAAGCATGGTGATTGGCCCTGCAATCCATCCTAATTGTGCTGTACACCAGGCTAGAGATAGAACACCAGCTCCGATTACAGCTGAAATGATGTGCGCAACTGCAGTCCACAAAGTTCCTGGCAGGAAAATACACGTCGACTATTGTTTCTTAGATTTAATCCTAGTCAATGTTATAAAACTCAGTCCCTCTAGAAAATTTTGAGACAACTTAAAACTTACCAGTTCTAATTGTATCTGCATCATCTTTGCCTGAAGATTTCTCTTGTTCAAGAGAACATTGAACTTCCATATCCGACTGATATATTCTTAGACACGGACCCTAAAAACCTTAAAGCAACTCTTTGAAAATATGCAGGTGGCTCAATGATACTACATAAAGCCTTCACCTATAAGTAGAAACGTTCAAAGACAATACTCCTCCCTTCACAACAACAGCACTATATACTATATTGAACCATGTAGTAGTGCTAAGTTCTCATAAGTCATCATATAATGAAAAAGATGGGGGGAAAGAATGTCTTTGTTGGAGTTAGGCACAAATTTAGTCAACAATGATGGAACTTCCTCTATAAAGAAATGTTTGGCTGTAGTTCTTTTGCTGTAATTCTACCCTTTAACTGCAAATAGATACAATTTTTAAAGAAAAAATATCTTCTCATATAATTTTATATAAGCAACAGTCCAAATTGAACCTACCAATGAGATAGACATTTCACAACTCACAAGGGGGGATGACTATTTAAACATAGAGTCCAGTAACTTTTACCCATTTTTGGATCTCGTCACTATGTACATAATATATTTACATTCTCAGACTCCATGTGCATGTCTTTTTCAAAGCCTAACAGGTCAAGCCAAACTTAGGTTCAAATCAATGTTTGGTTTTTTTGGATGCTAGTATGAAAACAAAAAGATATTAAAATCAATGGAAAATCACAAATTTGGTCGATGTGATTGGAACTGTCAAGTAACACCAACAACACACTCAGTGTAATCCCACTAGTGGGGTCCAGAGAGGGTAGGATGTATGCAGACCTTACTCATATCTTTTTTGGGTAGAGGTTGTTTCTGATAGACCCAAAACTAAAGGTCCCACTTAGATTTGAACTCGGGTTACTGGATTCAGTATCCAATGTCCTAATCACTAGACCATGGGACCACTAGACTGCCTGTAATGTCACAATAAGGTCAACAAAAATCTAGAGTATGTAAAATAATCCATAATCTTTACATTGTTTCAATTATGATACAGTAAATCTCAATTTCTTAAAGCCACTTGAGTTCTCAATAACATGATTATATTTATATTTTATGTTCTTCTTAGTAGATTTTTTTTATTTTTTCTTTCTATTTCCAGGGATGCAAACTCTCAGTCACAATAGCTACACATAACTGTTAAGCCTTCTCTCCGAAAATCATCCAACTTCCTTATGCAAAATAAATGATGATGATGATCAAATCCCAACAGAGTGATTTCTCTCTTCTGCCTAAAACTTGGTGATAGAGTTATCCAACATATGTAATAGTGGTAGGTAGCAGCCTAGCAGGTACCAATCAAATAGTCGAGGTGGGTAAATTAGCCCCATTTTGTGGCAGAGCCAGCATTTTTACTAAGTGATTCCAAAACATCTACCGTATATACATAAAAAATAATAAAAAGGTAAAAGATATAAAATGAACAGTAACTTACCTAGGTAAAATCCTGCAGCTTCCAATAAAGTGTGATTTATGGTAGGGCCAAGCAGAGAATCTGGAGACTTATAGCAATCACAAAGTATGGTAGTTGCAAATAGAGTCACTACTGCAAAGAGTATAATAGCCAATGGACCAGCTATCCATCCTAATTGTGCTATACTCCATGAAAGTGATAGTACCCCTGCCCCTATAACCCCTGTTATAATATGTGCTCCTGCAGTCCATATCGTACCCTTTTTCCCAATACCTGAGTATACAACTACAAAAAATGAACCAAAACCCAAGTTAGTACTAGCAAACTAACAACCCCAAGTCATAAAGATAGTATCTTTAACAAAATCAAGACCCCATTTACTACACCTGTTCAAAAAGACAGAATCTTTTAACAAAATCAACACAACATTTTGCTACACCAAGTTAGAAAGACAGAAGTTTGAGGCAAAATCAAGATATCAATTTGATACACCAAGTCATAAAGATGAAACTTTAATCAAAAATCAAGGCACCATTTACTACATCTATTCAAAAAGATAGAATCTTTGAAGAAATCAAGATACCATTTTGCGTAAAGTCATCAAGATGGAATGTTCAACAAAAATCAAGATACCATTTTGCTACACCAAGTCATACTCCCTCCATTCCATATTGAGGGAATTTGTGAAGAAATGCAAACTTATTAAGAAAAACATTCATAGACATAATTTAGACTATACTTTATACTATTGTCCTTTGTGAAATAGTAAATATAACTTTGCAAGTAATGCAATTTATCTCCTAGAAATAATCAAACTTCATTAAAGGAAAGAACATATATGGAAAATGTTTCAAACATCAAACTTGAACTTTGAACAATTCAATTATTTTGAACAATGAAAAAACCTCAACAACTCAGTTAATATGGAACAGAAAGAGCAATAAAGATGGAATTTTTAACAAAAAATGAAGACACCATTTACTACACTTATTCAAAAAGATAGAATCTTTAACAAAATCAAGCCAACATTTTATTACAAGTCAGAAAGACAGAAATTTGAGCAAAAAATAAGATACCATTTTGCTATACCAAGTCATATAAAGATGGAATTTTTAACAAAAATCAAAGACACCATTTACAAACCTTATTCAAAAAGATAGAATCTTTACCAAAATCAACACAACACATTTTGCTATACAAAGTCATCAAGACAGAATTTTTAACTAAAATAAAGATACCATTTACTACAAAAGGTCATCAAGATAGTATATTTTTAAGAAAAATCAAGTTACCATTTGAATCAGAAGAGCCAGAAAATGTTGCCAGCAGCAATGGGGTTTCTGTATTATGTTCTATTCCACCAGCCATAAGTTTCTTTTTTTTTTTCTGTTTATGTATTCCTCGTACAATATATAAAAAATATATTTATGATTAATAATAATGAGTCCTGTTGTTGTTTTTCAATTGGTTCTGGCCTATAAAACAATATGTTTGGCATTTTAATATGAACAATTAATATCTATACTCCTTTTTCTCTACACGTCACCCTAATTTTTTATTTTTCCACCCCATATTCATTATCACTATAGGTGAGCCTTCTTAGGTCATGATTATGACAATAGAGCCTATTAATCTCATGATTTATGAGAAAATTTTGATAAAATAGATATAATTACAATTTATGTATTAATTGAAGAGTTGTATTGGAGGTATAATTGTACGTGTTAAAAGAGTTTCTATATCACAAGGAATAATCAAAAAAGTTGTATGAGGAGACTATTAGGCATGATCGCGAAAAAGAATTATGTCCGCACATATATATTTGATACAAAATTCAAATATGTAATTATGTTTCGAAATTTTTTGAAAGTAAAATTTATGTCTATATGTTTTTTCCCTTGTGTAATTTCCCTTTTTATTTTATGTCTACAATAAGATTCAATTATTTTAGATTCAGATTCGTCCGGCATAGAAACCCCTTGATTTTTCGTAGAGGGAAGTCATTTCCTACCGATTTTTTTGTATTTCTAAGATCACTAAGTTAGGTCATACTAATATATTTGTGTCGTATAAGACTACTCAAAAAGAAGTTTTTTATCAACACACAATCTATTGAAAGAGAAACGTCACTTATTAGGTTGTTTTTCTATTTTTTAGAACTCAAATTTAGGTTATCTCATTAAGAGTATCATACGGCAAAATTTGGTGATAAAAAAAAGTTTTTTATCAAACACAAGACCTATTAAAGAGAAACGTTACTTATTAGATTTTTTCCATTTTTTAAAACCCAAATTAGATTCTCTCGTTAAGAGTTATCATATTTTATCACAGGCAACATTTGATGATAGAGTGATAGTTAGTAGTTACAGAAGCTATTATGCACACACAAGTCACTGTACTTGAAAAAAAAACGTTGACACCAACGGATTTTGCTTGGTCTATACGTCTCTGACTACGAGCACGTGCGACCTATAAGTTATAGAGTTTGCGCTCAAATTAGTGAACTATAGTCTAGAGTTTTGTGACTTAAAAAGTCACACAAAGATGCTTTTGAATTGCATTCGAACTAAAGTCATAAAAAAAAATTTGGCTTCCAAGTTTTTTTTTGAACCTGTTTTATGTTATTTGGGGAAAAAAAAACAGAATATAGCTAAACATTTTTAGATACAAGCACAGAGTATTATCCATGAGTTCATATTTTTTCTGTTTGTAAACAAAATCTGAACTTTCTTGCTTTGGGACTAAATTGGTAAAATTAATGTTTCTGTCATTTTAAGTAAAAAGAAGTTCCCAATGATTCAAAAAGTCGATGTGAGTGATGGTTGGCTAGAATTTTTATAAATGACAGCTTCCAAATACTTCAATAGAAATAGTAATTCATCTCTGCCACGTAAAGAATTAAAGTATAAAGTTCCTTTGCACTAAAAACATGTTTTAAAAACAGCAACAAATATGTTCATACTGTAGAGAAGAAGTAAAATGACAAAAAGTCTATACACACAGTGCCACAAAAACTAAGAAATGAAGACAAATCATAACCTGCAACTCAGTAAAAAGCATAAACTAGCCACTTCTGAACCTACATATATAGATTTTCTTGATTGATTCAAGTCTCTAGTGGGATCTGTCTTGGTACATTTTGCTGCAAATAGTCACCAGAACTGATTTTGTGTTGATCATCATCATCATCATCAACCTCTACAGTAACTATGTGGACAATAGTAGCTGTTTCATTTTGATCATGTGGATGTTCCTTTAAAGACTCAAATAACTCAACTATTTTATCTACATGAACTGCCTCTGAACTAGGGTTGCCCTCTTGCGCCTGCACATCTGTTTTATCTCCAGTACCGGCTACTTCTCTGTCACGCTCCTCCTCCGGTTCAATCATTTTATCCACAACAACCGGCGCTTCATCAGCACCACCGCCGCCATACTCTCCGCTGGTAATTCTACCTTTAATTACCGACCTATACACCAAAACAAACGAAGACAATCCTAAACCCGCCGTAACTCCGGCCACCCCAAATCCCGCCATAGCAACTCCCAGCACCGCAGCAGCACCAATTAAGAGAGGACTAAATATAACTAGCAACGGAGAAGTTACTACCAAAAGTATAATTGAAGTGAGAAAACTAAAACACATGAACCCCAAAATTGGGGCTTCAATTGCAATTCCAGCTATTGCTGCCCAAATCTTCGTCTTTCGGGTCGGATTAACCTCCATCAATTCCCTGTTTTCAGCCATAATAATTTTTTTTTTCTCTGAACACAAGTATAAATGATTATCTGATCATATATTATGTTCCATATTTGGACGATTTATGAAAACAGGACACGTTTCTGATACTTTTCTATACGTGGTGCATCGCAAACAGAGTCGATTTGTTTTGAAGTTATCGTGGCGTTATAGAGTACAGTTTCATTGTTTATCCAATGTAATATATGTATCTAGATCACACATTAAATAATAAGTCTATACATAGCGTAGAATTACTATAAAGAAAAGAATATGATTTTTTAAGTACTAATAGGATAACAATAGACTAAATTGAGAATTTTCGTCCTTGTGCGATAAAATTTAAATAACAGTGTCTAAATTTTAAAAACTATGAGAAGTCTTCAACTCATGGTCATCTTGCAGTTTTCACGTTTCAACTTTAACATCCCAAAGGTATAATTCTTGATCAGGAACTGTAATGTTAATGGTGAACAATCCAGAGGATTCGTCGTAATCAAACTGTACTTCTTCGTTGTCAACATGAATTCGTTTAGGCTTCCCAGATGAATAAGCTCCAAACGTTCCACATCCGCGAACCTTCATGGAAACTAGTCCACATTTTCCCTCTGTTTCATATTTCACCTCTTTGATTGCTCCTCCTGAATTGAACATATTCACAAGACCAATCGGAGCAAATCTTGATCCTGTAGACATTTCATTGATTGGAACAACTGTAAAGACTTCATATTCTCTCGCGTTTAGAGTGATTGGAATCGAAGTATTTTTAGGAAGATTGATCAATTCCCCTGCATTGGTTACAATCAGGTGAGCATAATGTGTATTTTTTTTTAAACCAGAATGCAGTATAGGATGATAGAAGTGATTGAAACAGCTTACTATGAAGATGAGAATACAGAATGGCATCGCCGGTCCATCCATCATGAGCAATCCTTGGTAAGTAATTGACATCATTAGCACGAACAATCCCAGTTATTGTCCCTGGTTGACAATCGTGGATTAGATTCTTCTTGCCAACCTTACACCATCCAGCACCTTGACAGTTGAATACACCGACTACTCCATTGAAATCGTTGAGATTCCAGATTTTTAAAAGACTGCATATACATAAGGTACATTACAAAATACATCACAGTTGGAAATGATGGTGAAAGTATCTGATCAAGCAATTACCTTATCCCGTCTCTTGCTGGATCAGAAAACAAGCAGTCTCTAGTTGGCCTTCCTGGAAGTTTGGCGCGTAATATGGAACCATCTGGAAGTACAAGCTTCTTCAGAAGATTAAAGTCGTGCTGTCCAGGCTTGTCACTACATGGAAATAGGCAGTATTGAGAAAATATTAATGAAAATCGGATCATACACCAAATAACTAGCTGTTCTTAAGGTATATATAAGCAGTACCTAACGTAAATAGCACAGCCTCCAACAGCTCGTGCAGCTCCGTGGTATTCAGCCATGGGATGCACACTCTTAACATATTACAAGCATTTTAGTGAGTTCAACCTTTTTTTTGATAAGTTGGAAAGTATACTAAGAAACTGAGATTCATATCATCAACTCACGTGAAACATATCCCAATCAGGCTGCATGAATTCACCAAGGAAAATGGTGTTGTACGCCACTGATGCTATGTGAATTGTGTGTGATGCAGGGTCTCGTGGCCAGAAATCATCCGATGCTCTAATTACAGCTGAACGCTTTGCACTACACAAAGCAAGGGAAATAAAAACTGGATCAGAACATATATGGTAAGAGTATCTAGCATCTCTTTACGACGATTCTCCATTTCTTAGAACTAATTCAGTTTATAACAATTACAAGCAAGAAAAAATTACCTGAACAAACTATCATTACTATGGCTCATGCATGAAATAATTCCATTATCAGGAAAATTTCGAGCAATAGATGCCTCTAATGCTTGATGATACTTCCTTGCGAGTTTTACCCTTCCACCATGACCAGCTCCAAGTGTTTCAAGGATGTTCTGAACATCTACTTTAACCCCATCTATACCCGCAGAAGCAAGGTATGAGTGCAGTTCATTATAGAAGTATAAAACTTTCTCAGGGTTCACTAGACCAAGACCGTTCTTTATCAAGCTGCTCAAAGCATCATCAGGTTCCTGTGACTCAGTCCCGGGAGATGAAACTGGGAAAGATAACTTGGATTCATAGTGTTCCATCCCAGGGACCCCGGGTCTCACACCGCCCCAGTAACCAGCAAGTGCATGCCACATGTACACATACCTAAAGTGCATGATCCAAAGAAGGAAAACGCTTAGTTGATAATTAAAAGGACAGCACCTGATAGTTGAAGATATTGAAGAACATACTTCAAATTGTGTTGGTCTTTGATATTGGTAACAACATGTCGAAGTCCCATTGCAGGATCGTTAACCCTATGACCTTCTTTTCCATTTTTCTGAAACTTATGGTTCTCTTTGATATGAGTTAACCTGTTAGCAAAGCTGAAAACAACCAAAGAACGATCAGAACATTTTAAGGGGTCGCTAAACAATGATGATGATATTTAATGTGTTCCATCTACTCACTTTGCATGGTTATCAGCAATGGATTCGATACCATCGGGATCCATACTCACTGATTGCCATCCATCATCAATGAGTACAAACTTTGGGGGAATACCTCCTTTCTCCAAACTAAAAAAGAGATAAAAGTTTCAGCACCCTATGCAATGCAGGAATTTAGAAGCTAATCACTATCAAATAATTGAAGTCGATTACCTCTCTAACCCTTGCTTCACTCCCTCTGAAGTAACGGTAGTATAGAAAGCATCCCACGTGCACCATCCGAACCAGTTCAACATGTCTGGCATCTGAATCATGATAAAAACATAATATTACATATATTCAGAAGTAATGATGTCAATCGCGCTTGCAGAAATTAGAAGACATTCAAAATGTACCTTCTTTCTATCACGGTGACAAAATGTCTGTAAATGCCTCTCCACCGTCCTGTGTTGATGAAGAATTTTAACAATCATTTGCATTTCAGCAAGGCAAAATGTCTATGGTACAGTTATCAAATTGGTGGAACATATGAAATCTCAAGCAAAACATAGATAAAATTTGATTATTACAATGAAAATAGGCCAGGAAAGGCATTTAAAGATCAAAATAGTTATACAATTGAGGAACATAGCATATATATTCGAGACAATCATATTTTTGTTGAGTAGAAATAGCACTAGATCATCAAAAGGTTGTATACATCTTCCTTTTTCTCTAGGCATTTTTCGGAAAGGACTCCGTTTTCCCCATTACCATATAGTTGTCCTTGGGACGACTCTATAGTTATGTGAAGACAATGAGTTGCACAGTTGACTAAGGAAATTTCTTCAAGAATGGAAACCATGAAAGAAAGGACTAAAACATACTTGACAGCATTAGTGATGACATCAAAAGGGTCTGGTCCAGCTGCTACGTAAACCAAATGGCTTCCCTCGAAATCTTGCACAGCAGGATCTCCTGCAATCAACCATCATCATTAGCATCACGAAAATTGGTAAAGACCATACGACAAGATCCAAAACGTATCAATGGAGATCGTAATATCCATACCACTTTCCAAACATATCTCTAACTCATCGTTTGAATTCCCTTGAAGAACGGCCCTAAAATCACCTTCTAGAATAGGCAAGAAAACAACATACAATGCTGAATTTTGCTGGTTGTCTTGATCAAAATTTGAACCATCATTTCCTTCTACAATCAAAAACTGAGTCTCGAATGGTATATCTTGGCCAGATGTACCCATTCTCTGTGTCATCCACCATAACTTGAACCGGAAACCACACATAAATCTCAATCCTCTGCAAACCATTCAAACACGTAAATAATTTCCTTGTTAAAACCAAACAAATCACAAAGCAATCATTACAACAAAAAAATTGCAAATTGTACTTCAAAATTCCCAAGGATTCTCAACATTTAGCCCCCATTTGGTCTGGTAGATTTTAAAGTTGAAACTTGTAACTAGAAAATTTGAAATTTTGAAGTTGTGTTTGGACATGAATCTTACTTGGAAAATTTTTGAAGTTTTGTGAGTAGAAGTTTCAAAAACTGGGTTGGAGTAGATTTTGGGAACTTGAAAACATTTGAAGATCAAATTTCCAAAACCTGACCAAAATTCATGGCTAGACATATATTTAAAGACAAAGCTTTCAAAATCTATGGTCAAACGCTGGCTTAGATTAAGAACATGGAAAGTTTTAATGAAGTTAATACACAATATCCTCTACAAACCATAATCAAGCATTCAACAAGTAAATAACTTCCTAGTAAAACCTCACATGAAAATCAAGGAACCAAAAATGCAATCTTTACAACAAAGAAACAATCTTTACAATAAAAATGCAATCTTTACAACAAAAAAACAATCTTTACAACAAAAATGCAATCTTTACATAAGAACAAACAATCTCAACATTTAGATAAAACACATATAATGAAGTTAAAACATAAAACGCCATTATCATCAAAGAATCCTTAGATTCATAAACAAAAATTCAAAAATTAAAACCAGACGGAGAAAATAACTATGAAGATGAAGAAGGAACATACTGTAGTTTGCCAATAGGGAAGACTCTATGACTACCAATTCTGTCTGAATTAACACCAAGAAATGCCCCATTAGTAAAAGCTTTACCATTTGGCTGAGTAACAATAATATTTTCATCAACATCACTTAGAATGCTTTGCCCCAATACATTAAGCTTTCTTTCAGCCACACAAATTCCTGCTCCTACTGTCATCTTTTTTCTTTCTATAACCAAATAAACAAGAAAACACCCAAATGAAAAAAAAAATATTATCTTTATCTTTTCTAAAACCAAAAAAAAAAAAACACAAGGAATATACAATGACAAAATCAAAACTTGTATAGCAATTAAATTTTGAGAGCTGAGAAAAGAAAAGCTTGGGAGGTTAATATAATGGCCGGATTTTATGCGTTTTATACAAAATATTTTAGGCTACGTTACAATCAAATTAATTGGTACATCCAAAAAAAATACTCAAGTTATTATTCTGTTCAAAAATAAGTGTCATCTTCTATATTTAATATTCAAAATACATATAAGTATGTTTTTTTCTTAATTATAACTTTAATACTCCGTTAAGTTACGCATTATTTTCTA